ACACACACACACACACACACACACACACACACACACACACACACACACACACACACACACACAACAATGAAGGTAGTATAGTGTGACTGCTCAACATCAACGATGAAACACAGTTCCTCAATAAAACTTTTGGTTCTCTAAAAGCATTGTAGCGTGACGATTAACCGAGAACAAAAACAGGTAGCCGGCAGACAGGTGCTCCAGTAATTATACAAAAACTGTAACATAACCGAGCGGTTCTTCATACAGATATCGCTGAAAAGCGGAAGTGGGCTATCAAACACCTGCTATATACAAAAAAAGACAGTCAAGACGTCATATTTGCTCCTCTTTGTTTTCCTTCTTTCGACAATAACTCAATTAATGTCAATAATTTTTGCTAAATACCTTCCATAAAAGTTTTGGTTCCTCTTTCTGCTTTTGTCACGCAAAAGTGAAAGCAAGAACATACAAAAAATAAACAAATAAAACAAGAAACTTCAATGTTTATAAATGTAGCCTACTTATGTCCAAGCCACGAGCAGGTGACTGAGTAAAAACGCTAACATCCGCGGTTCTGCTGTCTCTGCCGGGATGAGCAGCGCGTGCGAACAGAAAATAAAGTGCAAAACAGCTAGGAGGAAGAAATTCAACATTATTCAACTTACAGGTTTTTGATTTCCGTCACTGGCAGAGGAAAAAAAAATCCTTTAAAGATAAAAAAAAAAAAAAGCTCGGTTCCTCCGACAGTTAACAGTGCAATCCAGCCGCACCGAGGCACGAACCTCACACTGAACAGCAGCGCCTTGATAAGGGCAGCAAGCAAGCGCGAGCCCGGAGCCTCCTGCTGGTCTRTCTCACTCCAAATGAATGGCAGGAGTGCGCATGCGCAGATGGGTCAAACTCATTCCGGCAGAGAAGGAGAGGGAAAAAAAAGTGCTGCATTTGCTTATTGAAGAAGGGTATGGAAAGCCAGTTGAGCATATAATACTTAAGGATCTTCCTTTTAAACACACTTCATTCAGCTCAGATCATTTTCCAGTCAAAAATAACATTGTAAATAAAACATACAATCAACATTGCAGTTGTCTCAAGCACCATGAAGTAACTTTACTCATTCGTGTATGTTTCGATAGTCACAAGTTTATTAGTCCTACTTAAATAAATAAATAAATAAATAAATAAATAAATAAATAAATGTTGTGAACGTTTCTGGACAGATTCATTTTTACCTAACATATAAGTAAATGTAAAACGTCAACTAGACATTTTTTTTTACCATCTGAAATTTTGATTTTTCCTATTAGGCAACCATCCCATCTTTGGGAGTGTAGAAATATAAATGCACTTTGCAGGAACGTTATTTGAGTCATCTTCAATTTAAAGTCTGACGATAATGCAATTTTGGCATAAAAGAATTATGTCATTTGAGGTAGGCGTTTCGTTCAATATATGCTACAACAGCCTGCCACGACACTTCTTGAAAAGATCTGTTATTTTWAAAAAGTGCTTGTTGAGGTCTAATAAGGAGAAAAGACAACAACTTTGTGTAAACAACAACTTATTTCTGAATATTAAATAGAAAGTTACAATGAAGACAATGTAGCCTAAAACAATAAACTGATGTAGTCCACTGAATAAAATCAAGGATTTAAAATGATAGGTTGTAGATTTTGCAGCACTTTAAGCAGTAAACAGTGGAATCACGTCAAATCAACCAGTTGTTTATTAGTTTTGATTGTGTTGTTGTGACTAAAACAGACGGAAAGACAAAGAGGATGAAAGTATTCCGTGCTGACGAGAAGACAGTCATAAATAATTCAGCGATAAAAGCAGCCTGCCTGACTGCAGGCAGCACCAAGCAGCCCGCTCCACTGAGAAGCATCGATCCCGAGAAGGCGTCACCAATTAATGCCAAATAAATCTCCGGGCAAAATCAAGTTCAATCAACATTCTTGTTGCCCCTAAATGCGGCCGTGACCCGCGGGCCAGATCAGCCGGGGATTACCGAGGCTTCTGTCAACTATCAATAGCCATGTGCCTCTGCAAGGAGGAGGAGGAGGAGGAGGAGGAGGAGGAGGAGTGGGTCTGAGCCGATGATGCTGTTCGTCCTGTCCGCGGATCGGAGGACACCATCAGCTGCACATTTTAATCCCAACAAGGAATAAGGCGCTGGGAGAGGATGAGGATGAGGATGGAGGCGGGGGAGTAAAAGTGTCAAAAGATGAAGAGTAAAAAAAAAAAAAAAAGAAGGAAACAGTTCTACCTGAACGGTGCTCCGGTTCAGCTCAGCCCGCCGACATCACGTCCCGCTCGGTGAGAGCTTCCAGGGATGCCGCCGCTCTCACTCCGAGCCTGCCTTCTGTCCGCCTGGAGGGGTGGCGGTGTTGGTGGGGAGGGGGGTGTCACGTGACCACGGCTTTGCGATCSCGATAGGCGGAGCTGCACGCGCCGAAAGAGGCTCTCTCGCGCTGCACCTGTACTGAGAAGAGCTGGGATGTCCTCTCAGGATCGGAATCAACTGCAAGAATTAAAGGTCTGTGCAAAGGAGGAAAGCGTGTTGRCCGCCAACTTTCAGCGTTTTAAACTGATTTCATCTAATGGTGAAAAATGACAAGCCATTTTGGTGAGTGTTTAATGACTCTCAGCTACTACCATTTCAATGTTAGGGTCAGTGAATGGAGAATGAGTCAGGGGTGTTAAACTTATTTCCTAAAGGGCCACATGAGTGTTATGGAGGCCCTCAAAGGGCCAGTTGTATTTAACTTTGACTTTTCATGTTTGCCTAAACATGAAATGTCCCATTCTTTATCTCAGCTCTTTGTGGT